CCATCTGTTTTGAATTTTTTTATGTTTTCTTAACTATGAGAGGGAGAGAGAAAGAGACAGAGCGTGAGCGGTGGGGGGGCAAAAGAGAGGGAGACATAGAATCTGAAGCAGGCTCCAGGTTCTTAGCTGTCAGTACAAAGCCTGACACGGGGCTTGAATTCATGAACCATGAGATCATGACCTGAGTCAAAGTCAGATGCTTAACTGACTGAGCCACCCAGGTGCCCCTGTCCCATCTGTTTTGAAAGGATGGTTGCTACATTATACTTACTCTTACTGCCATTATCCAGCACTTAGTTACAGAGCCACTTCTAGCTGCAAGGGAGGCTGAAAGGTAGTCTAGATACTTTTTTTTAATATTTATTTATTTTTGAGAGAGAGAGATAGAGTGTGAGCAGGGAAGGGGCAGAGAGAGAGGGAGACACAGAATCTAAAGCAGGATCCAGGCTCTGAGCTGTCAGTACAGAGCCTGACGTGGGGCTTGAACGCACAAACCGAGAGATCACGACCTGAGCCAAAGTTGGACACTTAACCCACTGAGCCACCCAGCTGCCCCAGAACTGTCTTTATGTTGAGTGGCCATGTGTCTGGCTAAGATAGGATTTTCTATTATTTAAAAGTTGAGGGTTCTATTATTATGAAAAAAAGAGATTAGATATTGAGGAATAGCCAGCAGTCTCTGTCTTCCCCTCCTCTATTATACAGAGTTCACCTGAGCCAAGCCAGAAATTCCCTTGAAAATGTTCCAGTGCACTAAATTGCAGTGGATATCAACAGATTTCATGGGCTGATAGCCTCAAGGGGAAAAACAGTCATTAATTAAAAGCATATCTGCTATATGTACTCCAATTATTCCAGAACTTAGGAAATACCTCGGCTTGCGGCATGAATAAATACTCATAAATGTGAGTTTTAGAACTGAAAGACCAGCTAAAGATTTTTAAGAGTTACTGAATAAATATAAGATGTTGACTCTGTCATTTTGATTCTGTGGGGTGATGATTTTGTATATGTGATCATAAACATTTAAATCAAAATTATACCTACATCAACAATTTTAAAGAAAAACAGTATTTTCTAGAAAACTGTTTTTTAAATGGATTATGGCAGCATTCAAAATAAACTTCCTGAACCCTCTTGGACCCAATCAAAATACTTGCTTTTTGTGAGAAATTTCTTGAGAGACCTTTGAGATTTATCTTTAAGAAATAACACACAAGTTGGGTGCCTGGGTGGCTCAGTTGGCTAAGCATTGACCTCAGCTTAGGTCATGATCTCATGGTTCGTGAGTTCGAGCCCCATGTCAGGCTCTGTGCTGATAGCTTGGAGCCAGGAGCCTGCTTTGGATTCTGTGTCTCTCTCTTTCTCTGCCCCTCCCTGACTCATGCTCTGTCTCTCTCTCTCTCTTAAACATAAAGAAACATTAAAAAAAAAAAAAGAAGTAACATGCAAGTTAAGGTAAGCCAAAAGCAGGGATGGGTGGATTTCTGCAGTTTGGAAATACTTCAGCTTTACAAGCTGAGGGATTCTTTTCCATCAAAAGACAAATACCGTATTTTAAAATATCTGAAGACTGAAGCTACAAATGTAGAACTAGGGACAGAGTGTTTAAAAAGGCAGTGAGTTTGATTCTTTAAATATTCATTCTTAATCTATGTTTGTGTGAAGAGTGAAAATTTGTTGACATTTACAAAATTGTATTTGAAAGAAAACATTTATCACATAGCTGTTTGTGTATGAAGAATATAAAGTAACTTAAAAATATCTTTGTCTATGTATTTTGAGATATGAGAAATTGACACAAAAATATTTGGACTTTTTAATGTTTCAGATTTAAACGCATCTTCTGTATAGGAAAGATGGCACTTATGTAATTATAGTCTTAACTGTTGTGCAAAAAGTCTTCACAGAACATACCCATTTGATATAGGCTAGAGTCAAATCCTAGAAATCTATTCCTTTAAAAAAAGATTCCATTTTTTCATAATAAGTTACTTTGTAAAATATAATTTATCCTATATAAACATGAGAAACAGGTGGGAAGAAAAAAGACAGTGGAAGGGGACCTTTATTCTTATTCTTATGAGTAACAAACAACAATATAATTGGTAATGCATGAATAACTTAGAAAAACAAGGTAGCTTTTACCACGTGGTTTGTTGTCTTGGCTATAGTTGTTGGTTAGCTGCCATACACAGAGTTTTAAGTGAGTACTTGTCCACTTTTCTGAGTTCTTTTTACTCTGAATCATCAAAATGAGAAAACTCTTTTTTCCCCCTTTTTTTAGATGGGTGGGGGGAGGAGGGGCAGTGAAGAGGGAGAGAGAGAGAGAGTGAGAGAGAGAGAGAGAGGGAGAATCCCAAGCAGGCTCCATGCCCAGTGCAGAGCCCAATGCAGGGCTCAATCCCAGGACCATGAGATCATGACCTGAGCTGAAACTAAGAGTTGGACGCTCAATTAACTGAGCCACCCAGGCATCCCAAAATGAAAAAATTTTGCATGTAAACCAACTTCTAATGACTGTTAATATCAGAAATCACCATACTCTCAACTTCAACTCCAGGTTTTAAAATTCTACTCGAAATCTTTAAAATCAGATATTAAATTCTTTAGAATAAAAAAAGGGCAAATTTCATCATGCTATTGAAATGCCATGTTTGATTTTATATAAAATTTGTTTCTTGTTTTTTCATTGTACCAAAATTATTTTTACTGGAATCAGTTTCAGTTTTTTTTACATATAAACTTTACATTAAAGTTAAAATTCAGTATTTTTTTTCTTCATGAAAAATTATAGCCATTAGAGCTTCTGGTATTATGAACTTTCTTTTGCAGTTAATTAACCAAGACAGATTTTTTTCTGCACAAACCTTGTAGATTTAAATTTTGTCAAGAATATTTGTTTTCCCATCAACATTTAATAAAAGAGAAATTGTATTTGCCATGTCTGTTTTTCTCAATTTTTCCAGTTTTCAATATTACCAACCAGTAGTTTCTTTCATTTTTTATTCTATAACAAAACTGTGTGTAGTTTTAGCTATTTGTTAATTTCATTTTGTATTGCTTATTTTAATCAAGTCCTTTTTTCCCCTGTTAACCTATACACAATATCTTTGGTATTAAAACAGCCAGGCAAAAACCACAAAAAAATTCTAGGCAGTGATTGTGATATGTTTAGTGGCTTTAGAAGACAGAATTTTACAAATGGAACAGATCTTAGAAATCAACTAGCTCAATGCTCTCATTTTACAAGTGAAAAAACAGAGGCGCAGAAAGGTTATGTGACTTTCCCAAAGAGAGATACAAATGCTTCATCAAAGGCAGTAGTCAGTTAAGAATGGAGGTGATGGGCAGATGTGATAAATATTGAGAAGATCAAGGTCAGCACATGTTTAGTTGGACTGTGGGATAAGGGAGAGATACGAGTCTGGGATCATCCTGGATTTTAGGCTTGGGTGACTTGGTGGATGTTGATACTGTTAACAGAGACAGAGAATAACTAAGTAGGTTGGGTTTGAGGGTGAGGGTAGATGATGAGTTCAGTTTTAAATGTCAACTTTGAGATGAGAACTGGATGTCTAGGTGAAGTTTGAGTATTTCAATAGGAAATTTTAGAAAGGCTTGGGTGGAGAAACAGACTTGGGAGTTATCAGCTTACAAGTTGTAGTCCCACAAGAGGAGATGAAGTCACCCTGCTGGGAAAATATCCACCAAGGAGGCAAAGTTGTAGCCTGCAGATGTGTTTTGTTTGGCCCAAAATAAAAATTTAACAAAATTTGAATTAGTGACTAACATTTAAAATTTAAGAAATTTTATGTAAGTATCTGTATATTTATCCATATATTGATTTATCTTTAAAAATGAGAGGATCTAACATCACCAAGCCAGCACTCCTGGTTGGCAAAAATCATCTAGAGCTGAGTAGGGACCATGAACTCCATTTCTCCATAGTCTCTATTCGCGAGCTGGCCCATAATTTAGGAGTAATTTTTGACACCTTTCTTTCCCTTTATCGCCTTGTGTAATCCATCTGCAAGGCTGCCATCTCTAGCCCCAAATTATTAAATTTGTCAACTTTTCTCCATCATTCCTTACACCATCACTGCAAAAGCAATTGTCTCTTTGCATCCTTTCTTGTCTTCCAATGAGCTACTATACACAATATCGTTCATTGTACACACAACAGCTAGGGCGGTTTTATAAAATCAGATCCTGTTACTTGCATGTCTAAACCTCTTCACTGTCTACCCATTACACTTCAAATAAAACCCATGCCACTTATGATAACCCAGAAAGGCTCTGCAATATCAGGACTCTCCTTGCCTTGTTGTTCTCATCTTCGGTTTTTTTCCCTACCCTACTTTCTAACTTTCTCAAGGGCACCACATTTTATTCCCTCCTCATAGCTTGCGAACATGTCAACACTTCTCTTGGTTGTTCTTCCTCCAGATCTTGACAGAGCTGGCTTCTTCTCAGTTCAACAAGTCTCTTCAGAGTTACTTCCTTAACATCTCAAACTAATAGGGCACCCTCTGTCCTTTAGTTTCTGCGGCAACTTTTTCCCTCCACACACTTCTGATCTTTACGAATGCATGTAGATTTGTTGAGTTATTCAATATGTACTTTCTCAACTAGAAAGGAATCTCCACAAAGAGATTACTGTTTTGTGCACTGCCGTACCCCAGACCGCTTGCCGGGCACATAGTTGGATTTTAATAAATTGTGGTGGAGTGAATATGTACACTACACTCATATATAACAGAGGCCGGAAAAAAAAAAGGAAAAAAGTGCACTACTGTAATTCAGTAACTTTTCCTTTCCTAAATACTTGTAAGACTTTGCAATTAGAAATAATCGAGAAACAAGGGCAACCCCACGCTTCCCAAAACCCGCCGAACATTCCCCACCAGCCCACGCTCGCCGCAGCTCTGCGCTTGCGCAGACCTCCCCTCGGAGACTCCGCCCAGTCTTCCTGAAGAGGTGGACCGGGCCGGCAGCGGCCCGGGCGCGCGTGGATGACGTCACTCGACGCGGCCGGGGTAGCCCGTGGTAACCCAGAGTCTGCGGAAGTGGAGACCGGTGGGCAGGCGACTGACACAGGTAACCTGTTCGCTCCCAGCTGGGTCCTTGCCTTCCTCTCCTTTCGCGCCGCGATGGCGGTGGGGACAGCAGCATCCTCTTCTAGAGGCGACCGGGAACCCTCCTCAATCCTCATCTTCCGTCGGTGGGGTCCCTATCCCCTCTGAGTCGTCTCAGACTCCTGAGGCTGAACCCGTCCTGGGGACTTGGGCTGAGCTGCCACTTCTCTCCGCGTCAGCTCTTGGGGTGGCGATGGGCACTGACCTCTCCTCTCCCCACTGGCACAAACCCTTCTTCAGCCTGCATTTGTCTCCTTCTTTTGCCTCCAGGCCCACTCCCCCCCCCCCCCCACCTCTCCGCTCCTAGCTCCACAAGACTCATCTCCAGTCGTGTTTAAGGAGACAAAAACAGTTTACAGGTCTCTTAATTTCCACTTGCAGTGAAGCCCAACCACCTTCCCTGCCCCCCAACCCTATACCACCCCCAACACCCGCCCCAAGAATCCTTACTGAGATCACCAAGCTTTGAATTTTGGTGTCCTTAAAGAGCATTCTTTCTGTCAGTCAGTTTTACTCCTTAACGCACGTATTTGTTGAATAAGGGAGTGGCGAAGGAATGTGAAAATCTAGTGTGATAATAAATGATCCACATGGGATCCAATCAACTGCTGAGATGGATGGAACAGTTACAGCATCTCATTAAAATATTCTTTATTCCTAGTTTTCTTTTTGGTTTTCAAGCGGTGGTGACAAGTACCTTTGCAAAATTAGTCAGCAAAATAAGTATCAGAACCCCACTGGGAATGTTTAGACAGCAAAAAAAACAAAAAAACAAAAAAACAAAAAAACGTTGACAATGGGACACCGGTTGTTACAAAACCAACCAGAATAGATATGGGAGGAAAGGCAGGATTCTGAAATCTATGATCTGGTGATGGTTTGGTTTTGTGTTTGTCTTTAAGTATGTTCCATTTTTGAATAGAGCATATCTTCATATAATTTTGAGAAGCCTGCCAATTACTTGCTAATTGGTAAGATTAGATTCTTCTAATATTAGGGGGACAAAGTAGAATAAGGTTATGGAATAATAATAGTCACTCGTTGTTAACCATCTGCTGTGTCTCAGGGACTTCATTTGACACTTTGCATGTTTTCTTCTTAGCTCACGCAACAACCTTGTGTGAGTTAGGAATTACTAATCCTCAATTTACAGAGAAGGAAACGAGCGCAGGTATGTGAGGTTAACTTGCCAAAAACTCTAACTAAATGCTGGAGCCAGGCTTTAAGTTCAGGTCCGTGTATGACTTCAAAGCATATACCTTTTTTTTGTTTGTTTGTTTTTAAATGACTCTACTATAAATGATAAAATTCCAGCCTTTTCACAGTAGTCACATCTAATTGTGTGAGTTTATTCACTCATCTATCTAAATGATTTGACACTTTGTAATATCTTTAGTATTAAGTTCTTATATACCTGGAATTAAAATGCCTGGAAAGCTTATGATTCCCCCTAGACAGACAGACAGACACACACACACACACACACACACACACACACACACACACAAAATCCTTAAGAATGAGATAAGTTGGGGGCGCCTGGGTGGCTCAGTCGGTTGAGCGGCCGACTTCGGCTCAGGTCATGATCTCGTGGTCCGTGAGTTCGAGCGTAGGGCTCTGTGCTGACAGCTCAGAGCCTGGAGCCTGTTTCAGATTCTGTGTCTCCCTCTCTCTGACCCTCCCCCGTTCATGCTCTGTCTCTCTCTGTCTCAAAAAAAAATAAATAAACGTTAAAAAAAAATAAAATAAAAAGAATGAGATAAGTGGGAAGCAAGATTGCTCAGTACAACCCTTCTTTCTTCTTTTTAGACCCCTCAGGGAATGTGTAATTCATGATTTTGGAAAGTTTTACCCCTTTAAGAATTGAAAATCCTATTGACTATTTTGGATAGAAAAATTTTAAATGTCCTAAACAATTCCTTGCCTTCTTAAATACTGAGTATACTGATGTATTTTAATCTTTTCTTAATGTCTTAGAGCAGTCATTTTATTTATTTATTTATTCTTTAATATTTATTTATTTTGGAGAGAGTTCAAGCAGGTGAGGGGCACAGTGAGGGGGACAGAGGATCTGAAGTGGGCTCTGTGCTAACAGCAGAGAGCCCAATGTGGGACTCGAACTCACAAACCATGAGATCATGACCTGAGCTGAAGTCCGACGTTCAACTGACTGAACCACCTTGATGCTGCTCAGAGCAGTCATTTTATTTTTTTAATTAAAATTTTTTAAATTTATTTTTTATTTTTATTTATTTATAATATAATTTATTGTCAAATTGGCTAACATACAGTGTGTGAAATGTGCTCTTGGTTTTTGGGGTAGATTCCTGTGGTTCATCATTTACATACAACATCCAGTGCTCATCCCAACAAGTGCCCTCTTACTGTCCTGTGTTATAATTTAGTAATTTCCTCCGAGATTTTATTATATTTAACCACCCAAACTGCTTTGCATTTGGAGTTTACTTATACTTTATGTATTCCATTCCTCACTGTCACCAAGAGATAGTAAACCATAGTGATTAAAAGCAGGGATGGGGTTGGGGGGAGCGTGGGGTGGCTCCTGGGTGGCTGTCATGATCTCACGCTTTGTGAGTTAAGGCACCTTGTTGGGATCTGCGCTGGCTGCATGGAGCCTGCCTGGTATTTTTTTCTGTCTCTCCCTCTGCCCTTTGCCTTCTCTCTCTCTCTCTCTCTCTCTCTCTCTCTCTCTCTCTCTCTCAAAATAAATAAATAAACATTAAAAAAATAAAAACATTCAGGGACTGGGGAACCACACTTCTGTTATTCAGGTCCTAGCTCTGTCACTTACTAGCAGCTCAGTGAGCCCAGACAGGACAGTTGACCCCTCTACACCTCAATTTTCTAATTTGTAAAATGGGAATAATAAGATACTTTTTATCAGAAGATGTTGTGAGGATAAAGTGAGTTAGTTTATGAAAAGAGCTTAGAACAAATCAGGCATATTGGAAGAGCCATGTAAGTGTTTGCTAATATTATTAGTCTAGTTTGGGCCTTAGGTTCTTTGAAAATTGCATTCTAGTTCTCTGAAAATTGTTATTCTTTGAATGATATTTGATATATAATATTTATGAGTTTACTGGAGAATTAAATTATCCTAACTAGAGTGCCTTAACCTTAGCCATTCTGGGAAAATGCTAATTTATTAAATTTACTTTCATTTTGTCTTTGAAATGCAATATGCTTTTTGGTTGCACTGTTTGGAGTGAAGACTTCAAATATTTCATGTTATTATATGTATTTAATAGACTTTTAATTTCTGTTTTGAATTTGGGGGATATTTCAGTGGTTTAAATTATGGTTTACCAATATATGGGAACCCACTCTACTTTTGAATTGAATACCAGTTGATTTATACATCTGTTTATTGTGCTCTGCACAGGTATGCTGTTGCTCTCATGTTATGATTCTATGTGGATAAATACCTCCTCATAGAACTACCATTATGCATTGGTCACATATAAAGCTACCTTCTCAGTGTAATTCTCTTTTTTCTGTCTTCCATGAGCTAAAAAAAATTGACTATAAGCAAAATGAAATAATGTTCCGTATTGAATTTACAAAGTGTGTACCCATTTTCAAGCATGTATTTTAAACCAAGTTCAAGCTAGGAGTTGATATTGACTCCTTTGGTATCCCTAGTCAGGAACTTGAGAATAAGTGATCTACTTTTTTAATTTTAGTACCATTAAAGCTGATACTCATGTTAAAACTTCCTGTTGAAAATGTAGGTTGTATGTTTTGAAGATTTTGATTGTGGTAAAATATTCATAATATAAAATTAACTATTTTAACCATTTTTAAGCATATAATTCATTGCAATTAAGCACATTTGTAGTATTGTTTAATTATCACCATTATCCATTTCCATATTTTTTTCATCATTCCAAACAGAAACTCTATACCCATGAAAAAATGATTCCCTATTCCCCTCTCCCCCCTCCCCCCAGCCCCTGGTAACCTCTATTCTACTTTCTGTTTCTATGAATCTACCTATTCTAGGTGGAGTCATACACTATCCTTTTGTATCTGGTTTATTTCACTTCATATATTTTCAGTGTTCACCCATGTTGTAGTAGAGTTCATCTGTGTGGTAGCATCTATCAGAATTTCATTCCTTTTATGGCTGAGTAACATTCCATTGTATGTATATAGCATATACTATACTTTTGATGCATATTGAATCATGCTTTTATAGACTTCTCATTACATATAGTATGAATTTAATACTTGGTGATTTGGTTTGTGAACTTCTAGAGGATGGGAATGGAAATACTTGAAATAATGTTATTGAACAGTAAACAAAATGCCTGGTAATAGTGTTAAACTGGAGCTTGAGCATGCATTATAGTGTAATTTTTCTTCTCACCTATTATTTAGTCTAAATATAATAAGGGAAATAATAATCATGATAACATAACATAGTATTTCTATAGTGTTTACAGCATGCCTGGCATTATTCCAAGCACTTTACCTGTGAAGTAGGTACTATCACCATTCTCTTTTATAGATGAAGAAACCAGGCACAGAGAAAAGTAATTGAATTGTTAAAATTGCAAGGCTGGCAAAGTGGTGAAATTGGGATTTGAACTCAGGCTGGGTGGCTCCAGAGTTGATTTATCCTATGTTTTGTGTTGACATTTGGCTCACTACCAATTTTGCAAGGTAAATTCTCTTGCCTGCCACACTCTTCCTCTACCTTCTCTTTTTATACCGTTTTTAAAATAGAACATTACTTCTGAGCTCAGTAGGTAACAGAAGAGCCTCTGAGCCCAAATTGTCAAAAGGATGACAGGTACTTCTTCTTTGGCTGGGCGATAACATTTGAATGGCATTCAAACTGCATTTTCAAAGCTTAGTTCATATTATCTTTCTCTGAGAGCCTGTCTTTGAAAAAACAGATTTTGAAACGTTTTAAGATCTCATATTGCATATATATTT